CCTGCTGATCTATGAGCCTCTGTCTCTTCGTACGCAACAGCCCATCCCTGCTCAACACCTGTCTTATTCCCTCACTGACACACATGGTGTATGTGCAGTACTTAAAAGCCAGAAATGGTGCTTATGAGTGTGTTTTCCAAGTCTGAGGCCACACTGGAAATCTGGGATTCAAAATTTCATTTTAACCTTAAACAGAAAATCAAGATGTTGACATAAAAAAAAAATCTGACAAAAGTCTAAAATTATATTAAATTATTTTAACATATAAATACAAATTGCCACAGTATATACTAATAATATAATTTGTAATAAGAACTTTTTTATTTCATTTTGAAATTAAATGCAAAATGAATCAATAGTGTAGAGACGCTAGAGAGTGATTGGGACACAATACAGGTTGGATTCAACCCCAAATTTTCCACACCAGCACCACTGCACAATGTTCTAACCACTGAGCCTCAGCTCTGACATATACAAACTTAGTCAAACCTTGAATAGACATGTCTCGTTTCTGTAATTGAATGAAAATGCTTTGTCTTCTGCGTGCCATCAGGTTCATTCAGGAGATAGAGTCCCGTATGGGTCCAGCTCAGGCCAAGCAGTGTCAGCTACGCACCTTCCTCACCTACTACATCAACGACCTGTTCCTCAGCCAGGTCCGCACCGAGACCAATAAGGAGATTGAGGCTGTGACCAAAGTGTCCGACCCGCTCAAGATCCTGGCCAGCGCTGACACCATGAAAAACCTGGGAGTTCAAAGACCTCTTCTACAGGTATCTTGTTTTAAGAAACTTCTTGGTTTTTTTTTTAGAAAAGTATGATAATATAAGTACACACACACATATATAAAGATAATACAGCCTTCTTTTTCTCCTTCGCTTCTTCACACTCTCCTTCTCTTTCATTAGTCGATTAATTTATTAGACTGTTAAACAGCATTTGCCTACCGGTCAAGTGTACAAAAGCCCGGTCTGATTGTTTTCTCATCTGAATTTCACAGAGGGGGAAGGTTATTTTTTTCTCTTCCCGTCTCTTCTCCGTCACTCTGCCGAGAGTGCCGATAAAGGCCACCTACCCCCCTATCAACCTACATCATAATTGGAGCTGAAATTGTGTTTGATCCTGGCTGACCTGGAATCAGCAGTTAAGTGCAGCTTATATAACACACAATGGGGCGCAATGGTGACCAGCTGCCAGCTGTCCATCTCTCCCAGGGCTGCTTCCTGGCGGCACAGGAAGTGCAACACTTTTATTGCCATGGAGAACACAGAATGTGCTCATCAGCTTAGTTCATCAGCTAAGGGAATGAGTGCTGTCTCTCCTCTCACCTAGTATTTGCTTGCTTGCTCCTTACAGAATCATTTTAAAATATAGGATTATGTTATGTTAAATTATATTATATTTTATACTTTATTATTATTATTATTTTAGTACTGCCTTAAAGAAGCTGCCTTAGAGATATTGTCTTTTTTGTTTAGCTGCACACTTTTGTTTGTTCCTGAGTGTATTCATGTGCAATTGTGCATGTACAACTGAGTTATTTCAATGTCTTCCTGCTCTCTGAATCCATGATCTGGTCAATTAACCTCATGAGAAGCTCTCTTTGCAAATATATGAGAGCAAGAATGCACTTGTGCTGAGTGTGATGAGTTTAGCGCTCTGTTATATCTTGGATGAGAGCCGTTATGGGCCCCCTTACTCTTAAATTGAGACCTGTCATCTCAAGTCACAAGTTGTGTGTTCATGTGTGTACGTTTTAGCATTGCTTTCATTTTGAGAACAGTGGCAGTTCATTACAGAGGGGAAGGCACCAAAAGCTCACAGCCATTTGTTTACGATTATGATTTCTCCTTAACGAGGACTGCGGCATCTTGCTAATTACCCTGCTGGGCTAATGAGCGACTCTCTGGATAGCGGAAGCTCCATAAAATGCTCTTTTGTTTGGGATTTTTTTCTTTTTAATTACCTTCAATCAAAGGTGCCGCAGCTTTGCTCCTGACAGCTCGTGTGGCACGTCCCATCCTGGCCTTTTTCTTTGTACTGTTGTAGAACCATTTCCTGGGCCGTGGTCTGTGTGTGTTAGAGAGACGCACTGAAGGAACGAGAGAGTTTGCTCTTCAGAGGCACATTAATGAAGCCCTTCATGAAGAGCTGTAGTGGTATGTGAAGTTGTTTGTGTTCTCATTTGTGCGCAGACTTTGCAAAGTGCCTGTTGATTTTGACCTCGCAGAGGAAGGAAGATCAGCACTGCATTCAGAAAGCATTTGCTTCACATCCATCGGCATCAGGGGCCAAAATGAACATTTGCCAAACACCAAATATGGGTAAAATTTGGCTTTAGATTTTTAAATTCAAGAAAGTTTATTAGTTTTAAATGCGAAACTGACAGAACATTTAATGTTTTTGAAAGAAGCTCCCCATCACTGCATTTATACGTTTACTACAGTAACAACAGTAATATTGTAAAATATTATTAACATTTAAAATAACTGTTTTTTAACTTTTCTATTTTAAAATGCAATTTATTCATATTTGTTCATCCCAATGAGGCCCTCATTAGCATATAATCACCTAGAACAGGATGTGAATTAGAAAATACACATTCTGAAACAGAATGTGTATTACTTCCCTGAATGTCTTTTTTTCCTGACAACAAATATATGGAAAAATCAGCTTCAGCTTCATTTCTAACGTTATTTTAGGAGTATGAGTTTAGTTTTCCAGCTCCCAGCATTCAATACAGCATGCCATTGAGAAAGGTACAAGACTAAAATTGACCCTCTTCTCAGATTGAACAGCCATCCATCCTGTGAGAAGCCATGAAGTGAGGCTCCTCTCCAGATTGTCTATTGCCACTGTGATGCATTGTAGACCAAATGGAGAGAGCAAATGATGCTTAAAGTAGTGCTCTCCTGTGGTCAAGGAAATGATGACAGAGAGATGTGGGTGTGAGTTTATGGGTGCATGTCGGTGCATTCCAGGTGCCGCGGCTCAGATGTTACAGCAGGTGTTTTATGAGAAATCAGCCTGGGAGAAGTGGAGCATTGATCCGTGGGGAAATGGGGCTTTTCTTTTAGTTTCACAACATTAAATATACTGCTCTTTGCCATCAGGAACCATGTTAACACACAGACATATAAACACCCACTCCCATTTACTTACAGTACTACACAGGAAGAACTCTCAGGACAGATTTTATGTCTGTTGTTGTCAGCATTTTTAAAGCTTACCAACTTTTTGTCATAACCCAATGTCACCTTTTCTTTCTGTAAACTTATCACCCAAACACCAACTTAATTTTGTTGGACAACCACCG